CTCCACCATGGGGCGGGGCCGGGCCCTGGGGCCTCGCAGGGAGGGGGCACATTTTTGTGGGCTGTGGAATTTGTTTCTTGTTTCGCAGGACCATTGAGTCTTGCCTTGAGAGAGGCCGAAGTGCTGCCCCTCCTGCGATCTCAGTTTCCCCATCCCTGGAACCCCCAGGGCCCACGTCGGGGGAAGGAGAGGTGCAGAGCTGCCCCAGGAGTTGGCCCCGGGGCCGGGCCCCGAGCTGTCAGCACTGGAGGCAGGAGTGCGACAGAGGACCTAAAGGACCTCACTGAATTAGCTGCCCCCCCCAGATGAAGGAGGGGTGTCCCAGGCAGCTCACTGTACAGGTGGGGAAACTGAGGCTCCCCGCCACTGTGTCATCCAGCAAGGAAGACAGCCTTCCAGAACCCCGGCGCTGTGGGGTTCAGACACAGGTTCCCCCCACATCCGCCCTCATGGCTTCTCGGCCTGGCTCGCTCTGCCCTTGGGCAGTTACGACAGCCCCACGAGCACCCCTGCCAAGCTCCTCCGGGTCCCCCCTACTGTTCCTGCAGTGCTGGGTGACACCTTTCAGGGAGATCCCCAATAGGAAGGCCAGGGAGGTGTCCTGGGGTGCGATGGAGAAGGAGGAGGAGGGTGTACGTGGAGAGAGGCACCACGTGGAGACGGAGGAGCAGCAGCAGGCCCACACCTGTGTGAACAGAATTATTGAAGCCAGCCCTTGCCTTAAAAGGACCTCGCCCAGCCTAGCCCTCCAAAATCCCTCAGTCCAGAGAAGATGGATGTGAACCTGGCTGGGTAAGAGGGGGGACCCACAGCTGGGGATCCAAGATGGGAAGCCAGGATGGCTTCCTGGAGGAGGACCAATAGGACCCAGGGCTCTGAGGGATGTCTAGGAGTTTGCCAACTGGGGGCAGAACCCAATTCAAGGCCTCCCTCAGACTGGAGAGATGAGTGGATGGACGGAAGTGTCCCCTTCCATCCTTCCTCTCCCTGGGGGTGAGCATGAAACAGGTGCCTCCCTGAGGCCAGGAGCTGTGCAGGAAGGAGGCTGTTGACCTCGAGAACAGGTATGCCTGGCCTGTGTCTCCTGGGAGCTCCATTGAAAGGTGGAGCCTCAGGGCGTTGCCTGGGCACCAGGATAATGAGCAGAGTTTCTTGGCCCTACAAAGGAGGCTTCCAGAAACACCCACATGCCCACACCCTCACTCTATCTTTACCTTGGATGATTGGAAGGGCTTGCCTGGCTGTGTGACTCTGGGTTACTCATCACCCCTGTCTGAGCCTCGTCTCAGCCCCAGACACTCTGTGGTGTCCAGCTAGAAGTGAGGGCCTCCCTGAAACCACTTCCTGCAGTTCAGGCTGTCACGGCCCTAAGAAAGGAGGGTGCTCCCTTCCCTGGGCAGTGAGAATCCTCCAGAGTTTGGACATTTTCTGGGAGCTGAGAGGAGACCGCTGGCCAGGCCCTGTCCAGGAGCACGGAGGCTCCTGAGATGTAGGCAGGTGAGGCCTGGGCCACGTACCAGTCCCCGGGATGGGGCAGTTCTCTCCTGGGTCATCGGCCTCCTCTGCTTCCCTTCGCCTCACAGCCCATCATGCCTCTGTGCCGATCACTCTGTGCCTAGAACCTCCGTACTTGAGAGCCCAACGGCACCAGTGGGGCATTCACAGGTGTCTGCCCGAGTGTCTGGGTGTGTGGCCAGGATGTGAGAATGGCAGAGACAAGCAGGTGGCAGGCCCAGTTTGGCGCCAGGCCAGCATGTGAACAATACAGGACACCCCAGGCCCACAGGTTTGTGTGCATGAGCGTGCACAGGTCCCAGGGCCCGGGGGAGGGCTCGGGAGCGGCACACCTGTGTGGCCACGCCTCTTCCCCATGCCAGCATGCCAGAGACAATGTGCATTTTTCCCCACGAGCGTGAAAATGCTCGTGTGGGAGCTCCCAAGAGTGCAAGAGGCTAAGAACATCTGAGTGGCCGGCAGTGTGAGACAATGGGAGTGTGACAGCTCCAAAGGGCAAGGGCAGCTCGCCTGTGCAGTGTGAGAGTGTACAAGTGTGAAAACATGCTAGTGCCTGTGAGCGTGGTAGTATTCAAATATGATAACCTGTGAGTGTGGTGGAAAATGCTCACATGTGAGCATGTGTGAGTGTGAGATACACTGGCATGTCAACATGGCTGTGATAATGTATGACAGTGTAAACATGCCTATGTCTGAAGGTTCAAGCATATGAGTGCAAGACACTGGGATATGAGCCCAGTAGTGATCAGGTGTGTGTTATGAGAATGGTACAGTGTGTGATTGTGTTCAAATATGGAAGTATAATCATGTTTGATTATATGATTGTGAACACACCCAATTAGTGATTGTGGTTGTGTCTGTCAGCGTGATATTGCTTGAATATGTAAGTTGTAAAAACTTCTGGGAGCGTGATAATATTGGAATATGTGTATGACAATGCTTTCCCGTGTAACTGTGCTCCTGTTTGCATGCAAGTGTGAAAACAGCCACCCGTGTATGTAGGTGTGTTAGTGGGCTTGTGTGTGTTGCAACGTGTAAATGCACGTGTGCATGTGAAACACCTGAGTGTGCAAGCCCCATCATGTTGGAGTTGGTGAACAACAACACCGCATGTAAGAGGGACAGCATTTGAGGCAGTGAGGACAGCCTGTCCCACTGTGTGTGGCCAGGAGGGTCTGGGTGTGCACGGGAGTGAGAGCACCCAAGTGTGTGTCTGAGGACGTGAAGGCCAAGGGTGAGTGAGTGTGAGCGCCCACCCCCCAGCCAGGACCAGGGGGCTCCAGGACCCAGAGAAGCTGAGAGGGCACACGCGGCCCCCTCCCCGAGTCACATGCCACACCCCACACCCGCAGCACCCCTCTGGGTCAGGCCCTTGCCAGAGACAAACCAGTTGGGTGACCCCCTTCCTGAAAGGCCCATTGTTAAGAGACGCTTATCAGCCGCACCTACCGGGCCCCCTCCGCCCTGGGCCCTCCGCTTGCCTGCCCCCCAAGAGCTCCAGGGGGGCTGCAGCTCCAAGGACACCGGGGGCTCTGGGCTGGGCCTGCTCTAGGCGGCGGCCCGTCAGCCTCTGCACCGCCCCCCCATGGGAGGCCCTAGGCACACACAGGAGCAGAGGCTGGCTCCCTGCAGGGGCCTCCATCTAGCCCAAAGGGGAAAGCGAGGCCGACTGCAGCAGGACGTGCCTGGGGCAGTGGGCAGGGGGTTGGGGGCACAGGGCAGGCCCTCCTTTAGGGCAGAGGGGCAGGTTTGGGCACCCACACCTGAGAGGCTGTCCCGGCTACCGGGATCACCTTGACTATGGGATATTCTCCCCGAGGCCTGCGAGGCCTGGGTGACCTGCCCAGGGCCCCTCCCCGCCCCCTGCTCCCTCTGATCCAGCCACGCGGGCCACAGTGTGCCCCCAGCAGGCCGGGCGCCCTCCAGCGGCCTGCACCTCCAGGCGGCCCCAGCTTTCCCTCAGGCCCCGTGCGGGGAGCTCCTTCTCGCTGCACCAACAAACACAGACCCACCCCCAAGCCTGGCCGGTCCTCAGGGGGACTCCACAGCATCTGCTCGGCGCCAGCCCAGCCCATGCGGGTGTCCTGCCCAAGAACCCGGTTCCGATCCCGGAGCTCCTCTAGCTGTGCCCTTGGATAAGCCCCTACCTGTTTGGGCCTCAGTTTCCCAGCTGTAAGACGGGGATCGGGGTGCCTCCTTCGGGGCTCAGCACCCGGGCTGGTACACAGCAGGCGCTTAATCACTGTTCCCTGCTACGGGTCCAGCTCCAGGGCTTCCCTGGGGCGGGGGGCGGGGGCTGGGGGGTGGCGGGTGGAGTGGCGGGGACAGGCGGCTCCAGACGCGCAGGGCCGCCCCCCCCCGCGGGGTCCACGCAAAACCGAAATGCAAACGCAGCAAGCGCGGGCTCGGCGCAGGGGCCCGGGGAGCGCGTGGGGGCGCCCGGCCCCCCACAGCCCCGCGCGGGCGCTGAGCGGCGTCCAGCCCGGCTCTCAGCGTTCCGTGTAAATGTTTACACCGGGCGGGCGGCCAGGCCCCGCGCGGCCCGACACCAGGCTGCCGCCCCGGGAATGTAAACGCGGGCTGGGGCCGCGGAGGCGGCGGCGGGGAGCGGCTCCGCGGGGTGGCGCCGGTGCGCAGGCGTCAGGGCACCTACTGTGTGCAGCGAGCGCGCCGCGACCTGCGGGCCGGCACCCGGGCGTCGGTGCCCGAATGGGGCACGCTCAGGCCACCCCGGGGGCCCGGGGCTGGGGGCGAGGCCTCGGGGGAGACGCCCGCCCCGTCCAAGCCGAGACCCAGCGGGGAGCCGAGACGGGACGAGGCGGTGCAGGGGCGATGTGCTGGGCGGGAGGACCGCACTGTGCACAGGCTGGGGTGCCGGGGCCGCTGCCGCTTCGGGCGGTCGCGGCCGCTTGCGGGCATCACTTTACCTGCTCAGAGAGGGGCGGGGCTGCACACCCGAGGACCCCAACGTGGAAGGGGCACCCTCCACCCCAGGCCTCCTGCCTCTCAAGCTGTGCTCTCAGCACCATCTCAGCTCCACCCCCTGGTCCCACAGTGCCCCCTGCTGGGGCGCCCACACCTCCCTCCAGGCTGCCCCCAAGCCTACTGGGCTCCAGCCACGGTGGCCTCAGGCTGCATGGGCCCCCGTTGGTCCAGGCTCGGGCCCTTGCACCGGCTGCTCCCAGCTGCTGCGATGCCAGTGTCCTGTGCCTGGCTGAGGTGCCCTCCTCCTTGCTCGGGTCTCAACTTCCATGGCTACTCAGGGAAGCACTGTGGGACCCCCGCATGGGGGTGCTTCCCCTGCCACCGCCCGCTCGGCACCCGCCCTCTTCGTGGGCAGCATTTTTCACAACCTTGTGCAGCGGGTTCTTGATGAATCGTGTGGACGTCATGACTGATCATTACGCAGAAGTGGATGGAAATCAGGGGCCCCGCCGAGCCCCCGGTGCCTGGCCCAGCGCCCTGTTCGCGTGCGTTCCCTACAGGCAGACGGACGGAGGCCGCGTGGCTGACCACCCGGGGCCCGCAGGCCGAGGATGCAGCGCTGGAAGGCGGCAGCCTTGGCCTCGGTACTCTGCAGCTCGGTGCTCTCCATCTGGATGTGCCGCGACGGCCTGCTCCTCAGCCACCGCCTGACACCCGCGCTGGCCCCGCTGCGCCGGCCGCCTCGCACCCTGGACGCCCGGATCGCCCGCTTGGCCCAGTGTAAGCGGGTCCCCGACTCGGGGGGGCGGCCCGATGTGGAAGTTCCTGCAGGGGCCACAAGCAGGCTGAGAGTAGCGGGGTGGAGGGGGGGCGCAAATCCCCGCAACGGCCTGGCGGGGGGGGGGGCAGGGGAAGGCGGGCGGGGGGGGGCGTGGTGCTGGGAGCTGGGGTCTCTGGGCTCCGCTGTCACCAGGAACGAGGCTCCGGGGCTGCGGGGCCAGGGCGCCACCGGGAGATTAGACCCCAGCGGCCTCCACCGCGCAGCGCAGGGCGCGGGGACCAGGAGGCAGGACCCGAGGCCCAACGCGCTGCGGGTGGACAGGGACGGGGTGGGGGGAGACCCCGAGAGACCTAGAAATGCAGAGAGAGACTGAGACAGGGAGGCACGGAGCCCGGGACACGCACCAGGGTGGGAGAGACGCCGCGGGAAGGGCCGGGGGCGCCCAGGTGGAAGTGCGGGCGCACGGGGGCCAGGCCGCCCCGCCGCGCCCCCAGCCCGGCCCCGCCCCTGCTCAGGCCACGCCCACTGGGGGGGCGGGGCGGGGTCCCGACCTGGCGCGCGCGCTCGGTGCCCGCGGGAGCCCGAGGTGAGGGCGCGGGGCGTGGGTGGAGCCCGCGTGCGAGTCGGCGCCCGCCCTGCCGCCCCACACAGTCCTCTCTCGTCCTCACAATGGACAAGGGTGGCCTCGGGCACGGGCTCCACTTCCGCCCGCGCTTCCTCCTGCAGGCCCCGAAGCCCTTTCCAGGACCCGGGTCCCGGAGCCCCGGGTAGGGCCCCCAATCCCCAGTGCGCGGAGTGGAACCCGGGGGCACCGCCTCCGGGACTCAGGCACCGGGAAGGGTCTCGGCCCATGGGCGGGTGCCTGGCCCCCCTGCACCCTGTCCCTGGGCACAGCCCTACCAACCAAGGGAAGGAGGGGCCGCTGATCCCCACCCCCCGCCCCGGGTCCCAAGGTGGGCCTGAGACCAAAGCGCTGATGGTGGAATTTCAGGCTCGGGGCGGTGGCAGTGCAGGATGGGGACGGGGTGGGGGGAGCTGCTGCTGATCTCCTCTTTGTGCTCCAGACCCTGTGCAGGTGGCCAGGCCTGCTGGAGGGAGGCAGGGACAGATACACCAAGAGATTATTCACTGTTTATCTGAAATTCAACTTCAGCTGGGCATCTGTACTGTATCTGGCTGCCTCCCCCTCCCCGCCCCTGCCCCCTGGAATAACTGTGTGGATGCATACCTTAGGGGTGAGGCCATTACTGGTGGGATGTTAGGGTACCCTAAGTAAGGTGAGGCAGGCTTGAACCTAACCCCAGAGTGGCCGGTGTTGGCCACCCAGCTCTGGCCCCTGGGCTTCCAGAACCGGAGACTTGCTCAGTGGATCCCCGCCATCCACTGACCCAGTCTCAGCCAAATCGGACTCTGCAAGAATCCTTGAGCAGACAGGTAAACTGAGGCACAGAGCAGGGCCATCACATGCCTGAATTTATACTGGGCTGAAAGTGGCAGAGCGAGGCTCAGAGCAAGGTTTGTCTGATTCCTGAGACACCCCTCCCCGCCACACACAGTCCCCCTCTCTTGGGGACTTCATGTGAGCTTTCTGCTTTGAGAGCCAGGGGTGCCAAACTTAAGGACGGGGGGATCAACTCAAGATCCTCTCCCAGCCGCAGGCATGCCTGTCACCCGCTCAGCAGCTGGGAGCCCCTGCCTGCAGTTCCACTCCCAGCACCTCTGAATTTGCCACATCTGCCCGTCTGTCCCAGGGCTGCGGAGTACGGGGGCAGCACAGCTGTCTGGAAACAAATTTAGGCTCCCGGGCCCTGGGAATCTGTGACTCCGGGCACCTCCTGGCAACCGTGGGAGCAGAGGGTTGGACGTGGGCCAAACTTGGGCACGTGCTGGAATGGGGAAGAAGGCTGTTTGGCCTCGTCCCTCTCTCTGCCACCTGCTAATGCTGTGTCCTTGGGCAAGTCTCTGCCGTATTGGATGCCCAGGGACCTGTCCTGTGTTATGGGGGGACGGGACGGTGATATTCGCTGCTGCCTCAGCGAGGACCCCACCCCTCCGGACCCTCACATGCAGGCTTCAGTGCCTGCGGCTCCTCTGCACGTTCTGACCCGCTCAAACCCCCGACTTGGTGCTATGGTTGGAGAAACTGAGTCCCAGCACACGGTGCAGCAAGAGGGACTCGCGTGGGTTTGGGGGTGGGGCGCCCATATAGTGAGCCAGAGACTCTGCAGCAGCTCAGCCAAAGGGTGAGCGGCTTGGAGCATGGGCTGTAGCTCCCGAGTTCGGTTCTGAAAAGCTACACCAGTTTCAGGAGGCATCCCAGCATGGGGGGGGGGGAGTGCACTGGGGCCAAGCAGGGACAGGGATTGGGATCACAACACCCCCAGCTGAGTCTTCCCTCTCTTTCCTGCAAAGAGTGGGAGCAGCTCAGTGAAAGAAGAAGGACCCCCAGTGCAAGGCTGCCTAGGGACAGGGTCACAGTGAGCAGGGAGTGAGACCCAGGGTCAGCTCGGCTCACCGTGGCGCAGGTGCAAAGCGCTCCAGAGCCCCGGGGAGGAGGAGCCGGCCCTGAGCGGCCCCCTCGGCGGGATCCAGGGCGGGCTGCCGGTAGCGAGCGGCCCAGCGCGGGCTGCAGGCGGGGGCGCCCTGCGGTCGGGGATCCGGCGGCCCCCAGCGACCCCCCTTCCCTCCCTGTCCCCGCAGATCGAGCGCTGCTGCAGGGCGCCCCGGACGCCGTGGAGCTGCGCCCGCTGACGCCCTGGGCCGGCGGGGCCGCAGGACCGCGCCGTCGGGCGGGGCCCCGGCGGAGGCGCGCGCGGACCGGGAGCCGGCCGTGCGGGCTGCGCGAGCTCGAGGTGCGCGTGAGCGAGCTGGGCCTGGGCTACGCGTCCGACGAGACGGTGCTGTTCCGCTACTGCGCAGGCGCCTGCGAGGCGGCGGCGCGCGTCTACGACCTGGGGCTGCGGCGGCTCCGCCAGCGGCGGCGCGTGCGGCGGGAGCGGGTGCGCGCGCAGCCCTGCTGCCGCCCGACGGCCTACGAGGACGAGGTGTCCTTCCTGGACGCGCACAGCCGCTACCACACGGTGCACGAGCTGTCGGCGCGCGAGTGTGCCTGCGTGTGACCCTACCTCAGCGGCGGGCGGGCGGCGGCCACCGCGAGCCCCGCGGCCGGCCGGGGACTGCGCGTGCGCGGCAGGTGCGGCGGGTGCGGCGGGTGCGGCGGGGCCTCGCGACTCTCCAGTACCTGCACCGAGTAAAGTGTGGAAGACGGAGCCTGGCTCGTGATTCCGCGTCCCGGGCCCGGGGAGGGGGGGGTCACCTCCCGCGGGGGTGGGGGGGGGCGCCAGCTGCACCTGGACAGGGGACGGGTCCCGTAAGGTGCGGCCCGGGAGGGGACGGGGCACCCGGTGCCGATGACGAGTCAGAGGTCCAGGTGGACCCAGGCCTCCGTCCCCACGGGCGTGCTCAGGCCCCGTCCGCCCCCACCGGCGTGAACTCACAGCCACTATCTCTTTTCACTTGCTAAAAATACATGTGCGCTGCGCGTCTCCCTGTGGGGATAGGTCTGGGGCGGGCGCCAGGCCCGTCCAGGCCGAAACCGGCGCCTGCTGGGGCAGAGCCGCGTCCCCAGGGACCAGGTCCTGGTCCCATAAAAGCCCTGGCCGCAGCTCCGGGGGGATTGACGACGCGTCCCCGAGGAGGACAGAAAAAGCGGTGTCACCTTGCTGCTTGGCAGGTCCGGGACACAGCGGGGTGCTGGGTTCCCAGACCAAGGGGAGGGTGGGTGGGTGCCGGGAGGGGCGGGGCAGGGGCTGACACCCTGCAGACCTGTGGGCAGGGAGCCCCGCCTCCTGCCGGTCAGAGTGGCTCCTGGAGGGCACAAGCCCCTCTGCAGCCCACACTGCTCTTCCCCTCTGCCCTCACCCCCACCGGGGCTCCGGGGAGCAGCCCCTTCCCTCCCCACTGTTCCCCTAGAATGACCTCCCCCCTCCTTGCCTGACACGTGAGCTCAGGGCCGCCTCCTCAGCACCAGGCCCTACCCAGACCCGGTCCCCATCCGGAACCCTGAGGGCCCAAAGCAGAAGCTGCCCCGGGAAGGATCATCCAGCCCAGCAGGCCACTCCCCAGGTCCCCGCCACCCAGGTCCCCGGCTGCAGCTGACACCCCGAGGCAGGTGACAGGCAGGACTTCCAGGGGTTCCTGGTAGCAGGGCCTGGCAGCCAGGCCCCCGCCCATGGGTGGTCTGCTGGGAAGGCGGTGTCAGGGCTGAGGGTGGCTGGGCTCCCCACCCAGCCTTGCACTCTGTCTCCTGACTCTGAGGTTTGGGGTGGTGGATGCCCCCTCTGTTTGGGCTGACTCAGCCCAGCCGTGGCAGACAAGCCGGGATCCCCGTCTGCTTGAGCAGAAGCCAAGCCTCAGTTTCCCCATCGCAGATGGCCCTGAGCCACAGAGGTGGAAGTTACTGAGCCCCGGATGCACTAGTGGGAAAGTGACCTTGGAACGCAGGTTGGCTGCCCCGAGGCCAGTAAGTGTGTGTGTGTGTGTGTGTGTGTGTGTGTGTGTGTGTGGACGCGGGCGCGAGACGGCGGCTGTGTGTTCACCCTCTCAAGGCCCCCTGGCACCTCAGCCTCCTGGTCTCCCAGTCAGTTCCAACAGCCCAACCACAGGGCGCTGGCCCAGCCCACCAGAGAATTGGAGCAGAACTCAGCTGCCCCCACGGACCCCAGGCCTGGGATTCTCTGTGGTGCACAGCACTCCCTTGCACAACACACACACACACACACACACACACACACACACACAGGCAGCACAGTGTGGAGCTCCGTGGGGCTGAGCCCATTGGATCACACGTGCTCACGCAGCCCATATGCATATGCTGAGTTGTCACTCACCGTCACACTAGAAGGGACACAGTCAGCTCTCGTGGGCAAAATCACAGGGCTCAGGTGTTTGCCCGCACCCCATGGGGTACCGAAGCCAGTGGTCTCACTCGCAGACTCCTGGGTCACCACTTATCACACACTCTCACGGCTCCCACGGTCTTCCCCCTCACCTTTGCTGGCAGGGCCTGCCCCCCCGAACCCAGACTGCCTGGCCTTCACCCCCCCCCCCACTGTGGGGCTTGGCCTCAGGGTTTTTCCACCTCTTGACATTGGTGACCAAGCCACTCTTGGTTGTCGGGGCCGTGCTGGGCCTGTGAGCTGTGGATCGGCATCCCCGGCCCCACCCACTGGGTGCTATCAGGCCGTGTGCTGCTGTGACCGCCACAAGCCTCCCAACACTTTGCCGAGGGCGCCCTGGAAGGCAGAGTCACCCTGGGGTGAGAACGGCTGTTCTGGAATCAGGGAGAAGACACCGGGTTTACCAGAGCATTCCCATCTGGAGAATGCTGCCAGTATTGCCGATCGGCGTGCCCCACGGGCAGTCCACAACAGCAAGAGGACCACTCCCGGACCCAGCAGACCCATCACCGGGGAGCGGGACCCTAAAGCCAGTTGCCTGGGGTGAGGCGTTAGTGGGCGAGGTATGTAGCAGGGGCACCGCAGCTGGTGGGGCTCCTAGCACGTGAGTCCCAGTGAGGCTAGGTGTCTGGGTGCCGATCCCCAGCCATGTGGTCACCGACAGCCAAAGTCCCCAGCAGCTGAGACTCCCAGGACTGAGGCCCCAGCAGGTAAGGTCCCCGGAGCCCATCTCCTGGCGCAGAGTGTGGTAGCTGAAGTCCCAGGTCAGTGAGCTCTCCAGCGCCCCAGGTCCCAGGTAGGTGGGATTCCTGGCAGGTGTCATTCCCAGGAGGTGAAGACGCCCCTCCCGCAGCGGATGAGTCCCAGGCAGGTGAGGTGCCCAGCAGGTGTGGTGCGGAGCAGCCCGGGCCCAAGCTGCCCGTCAGGTGAACCAGGAGGCTATGCTGGGCACCGTCTGGTAGGCGGACTCCTGTTGCAGCCGCCAGCAGGCTTTGCAGAACATCAGGGACCAGCTGAAGGTTCGAGGCCGCAGTGTCTCCCGCCAGCGGAAGTAGGCGAGGTAGCGGGCGTCGTCCTTGTCCAGGGACAGCAGATACTGGGCCAGGTCCCTGGGGTTCCGGAAGTCGTCGACGTGGATGAAGGCGTCGGCAGGCAGGAATTGTTCATAGCTCTTCCTGCTGGGGCCCAGCACCACGGGCACGGCCCAGGCGTCCAGGGCATTCCTCCACAGCTTCTCCGTGATGTAGTCGCGATGCAAGGAGTTCTCGAAAGCCAGGTAGAACTTGTATTGGGACAGCGTCTGGATCATGTTCCTCTGCGGCAGAGGCTTGTGGCGCTGTCCATACACATCCACTTGGACGTGAGCTTGCAGCTTGTGGTAGTACCGCACCCTTACCGAGTCCTCCCTCCAGTTGGACACCACCCAGGCCACCAGCTCGGTCTTGGCCGAGAGGTTGACCAGGGGCGCGGCTGGCTGGCCCGGCCATGGCTCCAGCCAGCCGTAGGGCGTGAAGATGTCCGAGTCTCTGCGGTAGGACATGGTGAGATTGAAATATCCATCCAAGGCCTTCAGCTGAGCGCAGTGGCTGGGCGATTCCATGCTGAACCAGACCCAGCGCTGGCCAGGTGGCCGAGGGGACGCCGGGAGCTGCTCCTTCGGCCTGTAGCTGACCTCTCGGTGATGCACCAGGACTGCGTCCGCCTCAGGGTACACGCTGCGGTTGGCAGTCAGCCGGCAGTCGGTCGTGCCCGGCCACATATCTGAGCAGGGGGACAGAGCCACAGGGTTGTGGAATGGCCATGTCCACAGCAGGAGCAGCAGGGGCCGGCGGGCAGAGGACCCACGGGTGGCCTGGCAGGGTGCCCCTTGGGAGGTCACTGGGCCTGCCGACCCGTTGGGAGCCGTGGTGGGAGACTCTGCTGTGTTGGTCCTGGACATGAAGGACCACACGGGCTCTTCCTGGGACCAACGCATGTAAGAGAAGAAACACAGAGCCAAAAGCAGTTGGAACAGCACCCCGAAGAGATAGTGGCGCCAGGGACATCGGATCTTGGCCAGGTTGTGTGGATCCATGGATCAGTGCAGCTGGGGAGGGCGGGGGGGCGGGTCAGAGACAGCATCAGTGATAGGAACCGTGAAGCCCACGCCTGCCCACAAACCTGGGTTTCCCAAGTGACATTCTTGAGTCCTGAGGTCAGCACTGTTGCTCTTTGCAAGTTTACAGATGAGCCACCTGAGGCCAGGTGACTCGGTGGGAGACAAAGGCATAGCTGGAATCCCAGCAGTGGAGTCTGGCCCCAGAGCCCAGGCTCTGCATCCTCTGAATCCGGGGAGGGGTCCCAGGGAGGTGGAGTAGCCCCCCAGGGCTCTCACGTCCCACCTTGCCCTTGCCCTTGCCCCTCCCAGCCTTTGCCAGACTCTTCCCCACTGCCCTGGAGTGGAGGCTTGAACCCAGGTCTCTGTCTGGGAGGGCTACAGTGGGCTTGGGCCTTGTAGGTTAGGCAAGAGCTCACCAGGTACCGAGAGCTTGAGGGACAAGGTGTTCCTATCTAAGGAAACAGCCCATGCAGAGGCCTGGGGTGCAGGAGAGCCTGGCCAGTTTGTGGGGAGAGCACAGGAAATCCCCGAATGGAGTCCCGCATCGGGCGTCCTGCATGGAGCCTGCTACTCCCTCTGCCTGTGTCCCTCATGGATAAATAAATAAATATTAAAAAAAAAATCATCCTCTCAGCACAGAGCGTCAGGGAGATCTAGGTTTTCCAGAAACCAGTACTTCTTCTTTTTTTTTTTTTTGAGGGAGCAAGCAACCAAGCACACAAGCATGGTGGCCCCACAATGGCTGTGACACTTGTCATGTGGCTAATGCAACTGAGGAAAAGATAAATATTATTTAATTTCAACAGTTATTTAAAAACTGAACAGTGTAGGGGCACCTGGATGGGTCAGTGGGTTAGTGGCTGAGCGTCTGCCTTGGGCTCAGGCTGTGATCCCAGGGTCCTGGGATCGAGGCCCCCATTGGGTTCCCTGCATGGAGCCTGCTTCTCCCTCTGCCTGTGTCTCTGCCTCTCTCTCTCTGTCTCTCTCTCTCTCTGTGTGTGTGTGTGTCTGTGTCTCTCACGAATAAATAAATAATTAAATCTTTTTTTTTTTTTTAAAGAAAGAATACTGGACCAAGAGTTACCATTGCCCCCAGCAATTCCACTTCCTGAGTTCCACCCAAAGGAGCTGAAAGCAAGGGCTCAAATATTTGTACGCTTCTGCACGAAACACCTCTGCTGTTCTCATAATCGCACGGTTCTCAACTGGCAAAATTTGGCAACAGCCGAGATGCCCGTGGAGGTTGGGACTGGATAAACAGAAGGGTGTCCATCCACATGCTGGAATAATCTGAACTTTAGAAGGAAGGACATCCTCACAGTGGCTCCAATAAGAGGAACCTGGAGGGCCTGCGCGCAGGAGGAAAAGACAGTTGGACCCGAGGTTTTGGAGTCCACTTCCACCAAACATCTAGCAGAGGTAAATTCAAAGGGACGGGAGGTCATTTAAATGTTACCGGGGTGTGGGGGGGTAGATTATCAGGGGCCTGGGAGGGTGGACGGGGAATTGGAAATTTCTGCTATTGGGACCAGAGCTCACGTGTGGGGTGATGAGGAAGTTTCGGAACCAGTGGGGATGGCTGCCCCCCATCGAGAATGCACTTAATACCGCTGAATTGTACACTGAATAATGGGTAAAAGGGCAAATTGTATGTCACATGTATTTTGCCACAAGTTCTAAAATAATGCAACATTTTATTTATTTATTTATTTTTAAGTAGGCTCCACACCCAACGTGGGTCCCCCTCACCGCCTCCCACCCTGCCCATCCTGGAGCCAGCCACGTGCCCCAATAGCACATTTTAAATTTTAAATGTTATATTTTATTTATTTATATTTATTTATTATTAAATATTTTATTTACTTATTTGAGAGAGAACACACGAGTGGGAAGGGGACGGGGCAGAGGGAGAGGGAGAAGCAGATTCTCTGCTGAGCAGGGAGCCCGAGCCTGACTCGGGGCTGGAACCCAGGACCCTGAGATCATGACCTGAGCTGAAGGCAGGCGCTTAACTGACTGAATCACCCGAGGGCCCATGAAATGTTACATTTTATTATATTTACTTTACTTTTTTAGTTTTTGAGAGAGAGAGAGAGCAGGGAGGGGCAGAGGGAGCAGTGGAGAGTCAGCTCCCCACCCAGTGCATGACCTTGAATTCATGGAGATTTGGAAGCTTAACCCACTGAGCCACCCAGGCGTCCCCTGGATGTTACATTTAAAATAATGCAACCACAGATTTACCGGGGATGCGGGAATCCCTGCCGAGTTGAACCTGAGATACATTTTTCTCAGAAATAGAATGAAAAATGCTGCTGCGCTGGGATGCCCCAAAAATCAGGAAAAAAAAAAACAAAAAAAAACAAAAAAAGAAAGAACAAAAGAAACTGGGGCACCTGGGTAGCTCAGCCGGTGAAAAAGCGTCTGCCTCCGGCTCAGGTCAGGATCCCAGGATCCAGCATCGGGCTCCCTGCTCAGCGGGGAGCCTGCTTTTCCCTCTGCCTCCTCGCTCTCTCAAATAAATAAATAAAACCTTACAAAAGAAAGAAAGGAAGGAAGGACCAGAGAAAGAAAGAAACGAAACTAAAACCAAACACAAAACCTCCCTTTATTCAGGAGAGAGTCCAAGGTCAAGAACTCTGAAGGGCTCTGGGGTGCCGATGGGGTCCCGGCCCGTGGGGGCTCTACACCTGTGGTCTGGACCCTTAATTGGAACCTGCCACTCCCCCCGACTCCACCTCGGGGCCCACCTGGGCCTAGAAAGACCCTAGGAGCACAGTCCCGAGGCCTCGCCCAGGGGGGCTTCTGTTGCATTCTGGGGGGTGGTGGTGAGTTCTTCCCAAGAGGCCTTACCTGGGGCGGCGGTGGGCAGGGGCGGCTGGCAGGTGACCAGGGGGTTTAACACAGAGGTGCAGCAGATTTCTCAGGGTGTGGGTTAGACACCAGGGAGGAAAAGGAAATGGAGCTACCGCTGTGGGGCGGCTCAGGTGCAGTCCAACCCCCACGCCTGCCATCAGGTGACCCGAGGTGCCCTGCCCCGGGAGCCCGGCCGTCACCGAAAAGCCAGCGGCGGGACTCCCCCAGTGTCCTCTGTGATACAAGCCTTTATAAGAAGCGCCCGGGTGTCTGGTCATCCAAATTACCCAAACCCAGTTCTTGGATGGATTTAGCCTTCAGCCATGGGAGCCATAACCGTGAAATGGGTGTCTTGTGAGTGGAGGTGACGTCTGGACCTACCCAAGTTGGGGCTGGTTGCCAGGAGGGTGAATTAGCACCCGTCCGATGAGTAAGGCCATCATTATGTGTGAAGTCTCCAGAACCCCCCAGAAGGACAGGGCTGGGGGCTCCCTGGTTGGTGAGCAGCTGGCGACTGGCAGGACTCACTTGCCTGGAAAGGCGAGGAAGCCCGTACCCTGCCCTGTGCCTCTCTCCGTGTCGCTATCGATTCGGGTCGTTTATCAGGTCCTTTAATAATCTAATAAACATAAGCCCTGGGATGGAGGCCCGCTGGGGCACCCTGCTCAGCGGGGAGTCTGCGTCTCTCTGCCCCTCCCCCACCTGTGCACACAGGCTCTCTCTTTAAAATTTTTTTAAAGATTTTTATTTATTTATTAATGAGAGACAGAGAGAGACACACACACACAGAGAGAGAGAGAGAGAGAGAGAGAGAGGGAGGCAGAGACACAGGCAGAGGGAGAAGCAAGCTCCATGCAGGGAGCCCAACGCGGGACTCGATCCCAGGACTCCAGGATCATGCCCTGGGCCAAAGGCAGGCGCTAAACTGCTGCGCCACCCAGGGATCTCCTCTCTCTCTCTCTTTCAAATAAATAAATAAAATCTTGAAAAAAAGTACAGGGGATCGCCTAGGCTTACGGCCAGCTTCTGAGGTGGGGGCAGAGGGCAGGCTAGTAGGAGTGAGACCCTAACTTCATGGGACCCGATGGTCCTATCACGGGCAGTACCAGAAGGTGGGGACCAGAGTGACCCCACCCCACCCCCCACCTCCCGCCGCTAAGGCTTATGAGGCTGTGGGCATACTGTTGACCCATCCATGAAGGGGTGACCTAAGCCGCTGGTTCTGGAAGTGGGTTCTGCCGAGGGGTGGGCAGGGGTCCTTGGAAGGGGGAGGCGAGCAATTTCCAGCTACGAACCTCCCCTTTCACCACATCCCACTCTCGTGTATAGTCAGTCAACAGACATTTCTTGACCACAGGCTGTGCGCTGGGTGGGCCTCAGGGATACTGCAGGAAGCAAGTGGGTAAAAAAAGAACACACGGAACTCCTAAGTAAGCAGAAGATTTTCTTTTTTAACGAGCGAGGAGGGTGGGACCTGGTCTGGCCTTCCTGGTTGTGTGAGCTGCGAGCTCAAGCCATAGGAGCTCCTTTTGCAAAAGGGTGGGAAGGGCTTTCTGGGCAGGTGAACAACCTGTGCAAAGGTCCTGAGGTAGCAAAGGTACGGAGGGATGGGGGAATTCAGTGGGACTGGGCCTTCCTGAGCTGGAGCTGAGGTCACAGCTGGAGCAGAGGCCAGGCCACAAGGAGGGGGGGTCTGACTATGGTCTGTGCTGGGGCGGGCAGACCAATAAAAAACTTCATTAAAAAATGAACATCTGGGGATCCCTGGGTGGCGCAGCGGTTTGGCGCCTGCCTTTGGCCCAGGGCGCGATCCTGGAGACCCGGGATCGAGTCCCACATCGGGCTCCCGGTGCATGGAGCCTGCTTCTCCCTCTGCCTGTGTCTCTGCCTTTCTCTCTCTCTCTCTCTCTCTCTCTCTGTGACTATCATAAATAATTTAAAAAAAATAAAAAAATGAACATCTGTCTGTCGGAAGCCCACTCAAAAAAAAAAAAAAAAGAGTGAAGAACTTGAATATACATTTTTCCAAAGAAGATATACAGATATGGAAATAACCACAAAAAAGATGTTCAACACCACTAATAATTAGGGAGTCGGTGGCGGGATAGGGAGCCACATGTGGCTTCCCACAGAGCAGTCACGGCATCCACTCCTGCTTTGAGACTCTCTCAGGCCACCGTGTAGGGGACAGGCCCCTGGGGACAGAGCAGAGGCTGGGAGACCACGAAGGAGGAGGCTGGTACAGGCTGCTGAGAGTCTGAAGTCCAGTTCCTGGGAGTCACCCTTCCCCGTCCCCAGATGGGAAGGACATCACTTCCGGGAGGCTGCTTCACCTGCCCGGAGCTGCAGCATCTGAGCGTGTAGCCAGTCCCGGCCACTGGAGGTTCTGGGAGGTTCTGGGAGGCTGACGGTCTCCTAGGGCAGGGCACTGCCGGGCATGGGAGGCTGCCCCAGATCTGCTCCTGGCTCGCGGCTCGCTCTCTGCTGTGTGTGTGGGGGGGAATTATCTGGTGACTTATTAAATTATAACTCATGAGCTGTCCATCTTAGTGTCACCGGGCCCATGGCCAGGGCGACACTGGAGCCTTCCCACAGCCACCCTGCTGATAATGGAGACCAGGCCAAAGGGGATTCCCTCCGGCAGGTCACCCGGACTCCCAAGCGCACTAAGGAGCCTCCGGTGATGCTCCTGCTCTGCCGGAGACACTGCCCCTTGCCCCCTTTTGTGCACCTGGTTCAGCGCAGAGAAGTGTCCCCGCCCCACCTCCCGGGGAGCTTGGGCCACACTCACTTTTTCTGCTGCACTTGCAGCCCTGCGAGGACACAGGACACGAAAGCGAAAGCGGAAGAGCAAGAGGGAATAAGAGATCAGGTCGCGGGTCAAGGATTTTGACCCGTGGGGAGGACCTGGCTGGCTCCGTCGGTGATCTTGGGGTTGTGAGTTCGAGCCCCACACTGGGGGCAGAGAGGACTTAGAAATAAAATCTTAACAAACAAAAAAACGCCGAACAAACAAATCAACAAACCCCAAAGCAGGCGTTTAGTGGGGGGGGGGGGCAGAAGTTTCTACCTATTCCACACGGGTGATCAAAGTTTGGCTGGCTGCGTCTTCAGGTGTGTTGGGTCGGAGCCCCGTCCTGCCTTCCACTCCCTGAGGGACCTGGGACTCTCAATGCCCAGCGCCTGGGCATGACAGGGTCCCCCTAGCGTCCCCTGATGTTGGCCCAGGTGGCTGGCGTTCACAGAAGGTTCCCCGCTGAGCCTCGGACAAGGCCAGAGCAGGTCCCTTCTCTCCCGTGGTGGGTGAATGGGCAAGTACGGGCGCCACTGGCCGTGCTCGCTGCTGCTGTCTCCAGAGGGAGCGAGCGGCCCATCTAGGGGAGCATCCAAGCAGGATGGCTCTGCTGCAGAAGTCATCACTTTGGGATGCCCCAGAGGAGCCCAGAAGGACCCCTTTATCGGCCCTCGGGCTGGGCCGGGAAGGTTCCAAGAGGCTTCGTCCTGAAGCTCCGGGTGGGCTGGGATGGCAGCTGGATGGGGGGGCCCCCAGGGTTGCTCCTCTCCAA